CTGTGCCCTCAGCAGAACCTATTGTACTTGTTGTCGTGAGACTTGGGTGTGTGTGTTGTGGACTAGTCCTTGTATGGTTGCTCTGTGGCGGTTTGCTTTATTTATAAAGCAGGGAGAAAGCCTTCTTCGGTAAATTTCAATGGCTCACATGGCCAACATACTGCAGTGTATCTTCTCTACACCCTGGAAATTCATATTATGTTGTTGGCACCTTAGAACATAGGTACAACTGTCGTGCCTGCACACTGGTGTGCGAATGATTATAGAATCACAACGATGGTGGGAATCATTTTATGCCTTGCCTATGTAAGTGCGAAGGCTCCTGACACACTGAAACATCACTGGGCAGTTTGTAGCATTTTGTGTTAGTAAGTGATTGCCAGATTTATCGTGTGTTTAGATTGAGTCGTTGAATTGAATAAGGCAGTTTCACCATGTAAGGGACTCCCCATCCCTGCCCCGTTTGAATATTTGCCATCTCAGAATATTTTCAATTTCATTAATGGCAGTGTATGTCGATACTGCATTCAGACAGGTTGTGCAATGAAACGAGCATGCAAGCAGGATGTCATGCTACTCCATCACCTTTTAATTAAAAAGTGGAATATTTGACCATGGCAAACTTTAAACAAGATGAAGGAAACACCATAGATCATTGATACAAAAAATGACATAATACATACCGCCTGAGACCTTCTCTGAACATCTTTGCATAACTGGACAACCAAGTCAGAAGTTACTGAGCCCTGATAATGACAACGCAGTGTTAGTGTAACTGGATACACTTCCGGTGAGACGGGATACATGCAAGTAGACTATATGGTTTTTCAGAATAACTTGTAATGAACGTATGATAAATTACCTCCTCGTTGTATTCAAAATTCTTCCCGGACAGGTGTGTCTAGCAACAGCTGAGGAGATAATGGTATGAAAGAACCTGCTGTAGTTTCTAAGTAGGCGAATGAGTAGTGGGATTATAAGGATACGAAGTCAACAAGGTGGCTATCACTGTCGAAGGTATAACAATGAGAACTTGGAACAGCAACAATAGCAGTGGCTGGCACATGGATGTACGCAGCCGCCAACAGCACTGCAGAGAGTAATGGAAATTTTAAGGATATGCTTAATAGGGGATACCTAATATGGAAATTCAAATGAATTCAAAAGCACAACTGTGTTGATTTATCATACTGAATACACTAGTATAGTATGAAGGGGAGCCTTGGCGCAGTGGTAAAGCTACTGCCTTGTGACCATGAGGTCATGGGTTCAAGTCCTGGAAACAGCCTCTTACAGAAATGTAGGGAAAGGCTGCGTACTATAGACCCAAAGTGGTCGGACCCTTCCCTGGACCCTGCGCAAGCGGGAGCTACATGCACCAGGTTGCCCTTTTTAATACACTAGTATAGTATACTTAAGAACCATATTTCTGTGGCAGTATGAATGTGGAAATAAGAGAGCAGAGGATTCTGGCAGTAAACAATTACAGTATCAAACTAACATACACTGCTATAAATAAATTATCAAATAAGAATTGACACATGATATAGTAACAGAACCTACTATAAGAAATAATACTAGCAATGTGCAACTTGGTAAGTTTGCTCATCACTAAATGGGTGGACAACTGATCCATGAAAGCTTTTCATTGAATAGTAGTTGCTCGGAACAGCAGATACAATGTATTAACTCAAGAAATACTGGGGGTTTTTTTTTGCCAGAACCAGATGCACAGGATGACAAAAGCTGTGAATATCCATCAATATTTGTTTGGCCGCCAACTGACCTCACACTTTACGCCAAATCAAAGTAGTACCTCTTATCTAGTATAACTATGAAATTGTCTCAATAAAATCCTAAGATGGTTTTCTGATGATCAAAACACACCACCAGCGGAGTAACTTACTTGTCAGTGCTTCTAGAAGCACAAGGGTGAGAAAAATACCTATGATGAACGGGCGAAAAGCATCGAGGGGGCAGGATGCGAAGGTGCTCCATTTGACCAGCATGCTTATTCAGGTCTCAACAGCAGTGAAAAAATGATGTATGGCAAGGCACTGTCAATATTTTATGGCATGTCAGTAACTAGTACTCCAATTCTGTATTTAACCAGACGTATCAACAAAGGCAAAGGGATTTGGGCAGGCAACATATAAAGTTCCCCTGATACTATTCTCCCATGCGGGGGCAAGGAATGGACATGGTGGTGCCGCCGCTAAACCCCAATCGTAGAACAATCCAAGCAAATCCGCTGGCATCTGGGTGCTATCCTTTATCCAAGCAAGGCGGGTTAGGGCATTTTCCTTACCAATAATGCAAGGGGAAGAGATGAGGCACAGACTGAAGCTGAATGTATCCCCTCCAGCCCTCTCCACTCCAGATGAGATGGGAGCGAGCGGAAGCCTTGGAGGTGCCGCGGCAGCCCCCAGCTTCTCCAACGGCGGGGCGGGGCGGGGCGGGGAGGGGAGCGAGGTCGGCGGCGCTGCTATCTGTCTTCTCCGCAGCGGGGGAACCGAGGAGCGTGGAGTGGAGTGGTGAGTGTAACGCCCGTAGCTTCTTTTCTTTTCTTTTTTTCTTTTAGAATCGCGCCCGTAGCTGGAGCAAAGCAAAATCTGGCTGAAAGAACCTTTTTTTTAGACGATCTGGCTGAAAGAACTATGGGCGTGTTTGGTTTCTCGTATTGCATCTGGCTCGCACCCGCCATGCAAATACTGAATGTTTGGCACCCTGCATTAACTGGGCCTGACCCGATGGATGCAAAAACGGCCTCACAGCCAGGCTGAGCAGAAACGCATGTTCCTTGCGTTTCTCGCGTGCAGGCTCGGTGGTCGGCTTTTCTTCCTCTCCCCTCTGTCTCGCGTCCAGACCAAGCGCCGCTGCCGTCCGCCAGAGCATCTCGTCAAGCGACGGCCCGGCCCCCCATCAAGCGCCGCGTGGTGAGGTGAGCTCCGCTTCCACATCGCCCGCCGTCGTCGTCAAGCGCCGCTGCCTCGTTTGCCTCCATCAAGCGTCGTCGCCGCCGTCCATGGTCAAGCGCCGCCGCCACCGTCCTGGTCAAGCGCTGCCGCCACCGTCCTCGTTCGTCGTCCACGCCGGATCCAGTCATCTTGCGCCGCCCCACACCAGGTCCTGCCACCGCACGCCGAGTCAGGCTGCCTCGCGCCGCCGCAAGCGAGATCCCACCGTCTAGAGCCGTCGAATGATCCCCGTTTCTCTCTGATTTCAGTGACATTCAGAAGAATCTGCACCTCGTACAGCTATGTGGTACAGGTTCACCAAACACCAATCTTGGTTCATTCTTGCATCGGCTCAACCAGGCCACATTCAGCCTGCATCCCCCGTGCAATGCAGTCTGAACGTACCCAGGGAACCAAACACGCCCTATGTGGAGACGACCGCTCAGCCAATGCTGGCATGGGCTGGTCTGAGCAGCAAACAAATGGCGTTGAATGCGACGTTAAGCATTTTAGAATTTTAAACCAGCTCCCTCGAGTTGTGCTTCACGTATCGAGCAGGACGCTGACTGCGAGCGCTTCCCCCCGCGCTTCCCCCCAATCTCCGCTCGCCACTCCGGCGGCGGCGGCCACCTTCCTCCCGTCGTCCG